TAGGAATCTGACTTACCTGTTGACCCCAAATGAGATCTATTCCAAAGTAGCCACCATTAAATAGTTGGTCTGTGCATTATGCTGCGGTAGACATCCTAAATGATCTAGTGTAGGCGGTGCACAGTTTTGTAGCCTATGAGCGACAGTGAGGACACCGGAGAGGACGACCGCAGGATCTTGCGATCAGCTAGAGGCCCGATAACTCACGTGTCCCTAGGACCGGGGGGTGATAGGGAACTGTTCCGCCGGCAGAGGGAGAGGCAGCAGCAGAAGAGAGCTAGAGCAGCCGAGGCCAGCAGGGCATTACCTAGCGAGGCCGGTGCTACAGCAGCCATGGCTACCACAGCCATGGGCACATGTGCGCAGCAGACTTCCCCAGCCGGAAGTTCAGGTACCGCCGGGTCTACGGTCGCGCAGACCGTGAGTCAGTCCACTGGCTTAATGGCAAGCCAGCCCGCGGTGTTGACCCCAGAGGATGCCGCCATCCAGCAGGCAGCCCTGCGGGAGGCACAGCTACAGCAGGCTTTAGGACAGATAAAAAGGGAAAAAGAGATGATGATTAGAAGAAAAAACAGGATGCAACGGAGAGGGACAGACATAGAGGAGTTAGAGACGATGGACCTGACGCATATGGATGATGATGTGAAGGTAGTTAGGAGGCCCCTGCTAGGCGTAATTGAGATGCAGGAGCATCAAACTACCATCCTTCAGGACATTCAACAAAGCCTAGCCGTGTTGGCAGGCCGCGCTCAGGCAGCACCATCACCAACAGGGCCTGGTGCCTGGCCCGTGCCATATCCTCCTTTTTCTGTTCCACCAGTAACTGGGGTATCCCCATATGTAGCCCCGTCATCGGTTGCTATCGTTTCCCTGGGCATGCCTCTGTCAGGAGGGGTAACAGCAGGGATTAGTTTATAGGTTCCTGTACAGACAGTGTTTACTCCAAGTCCGTCACAGGTTGCAGTCACCACGCAGCCTGCTGTCTCGCAGCCAGTGCAGCCTCAGGGCTCACAGCCCCAGCAGATAGCACAGCAACCTGTTTCACCGGGTCCACAGCCTGGAATGATGCAGGGACCGGGACCGACACAGTGGGTTCCAAAGACGGTCATCGCCGCTCCCAAACCTTTTACAGGGGACAAGAGAGGCGAGGACCTCGACACATGGTTGAGGGCAGTGCCGGTCTACGTCAGGTGCACGAAGAAGTGCTTATGGCTGCCTCCTACCTCGAGGGTAGTGCAGCAAGATGGTTGAGTGGTCTAGTACAACTTGAGGGATACGGTCATGACTTCCGCGTTTGGGCGGCCTCCCAGAAATTGGAGGACTTCCTGAAGATGGTGGAAGAGAGGTGGCATGATCCTCAGGAGGCTAAAAGGGCCACTGACGCGATCCTGACACTGCACACACGGCAGTTTAAGTCAGTAAGGGAAGCCACCGACGCTGTTGAGCATTTGATCTGTGTCCCTGGGGTACGCTATGATCCTCAGGTCCTGTTGACTTCGTACCTGAGATGTTTTTCACAGCCTCTCAGGAACCAGTTGGCAAAAGAGGCCAACATCAATATGCACAACTTTCATTCGTTTAGCAAGGTGGCCCTAGACCTGGAAGCAAAGATAGGGCATGGACAGGGACCCACTACGGAGGGGAGAAAGAGGACACTGCCTCCCAACTGGAAGACGAAGGGTCGCTTAATGTTTGTCAACAACGATGGTTCAACCATCGAGTTGGACGGCAACTTCCAGGAGGGAGTAGGTGCAGAGGCAGGTGGCGAAACTTTAGAGGGTGGAGTAGTCGCCGCCGTAACCCAACAAAAAGGTAAGGGGACCGGTAGACGCCGAGGAGGCTCCCGGTCTAGGAATTTTGTTGACCCCAATGCTCCTCCATGGGAGAAAGCGGGTCTTTCGGAGGACGTGTGGAGAGATCGGTGGAATCGCCAAGCCTGCATTCGTTGTGGCCAATACGGCCATAGCCAGTTCAAATGTAGGAATAAGAAGGTCACCAATAAGATCCCGCCTACTATGGGGCAGAGGGTAGGATCCTCATCTCCCGCAGGTAGCAATGTTGCCAGTTCGTCAGGCACTGCTCCGGGAAACACGTCAGGCCAGTAGGAATAGTAGTTATTCCTACTATGGACGAGGTGGTGGAAACACCCTCGCCATCTCGCATCATGGCCCAAGCTATTAATTCCCTTGTCGCCTCGCAAACGCATTCAGACCCATCGACCCTTTGCTCGATGAATGTGTTTGAGTCCTTAGAGGAGCTAGAGGAAGAGTGGTCTAGATTAGACCCGCTAGCTTCTTGGACGACACTAGCTAAAGCCCCGAAGGGTGAGATGTTCGTCAACGAGATAGTCGTAGGTGGTCGCAAGGCCGGGGCCTATTATGACACTTGCTCGACACGGAACTTTATTAGTCGTGCGTGTGTTGAGAGGCTGCGTTTACAGGGGCAAGTGCAGCGCCTGAGTCGACCTGTGGAGTCGACCTGTGCCAACAAACAGCGCATGGTAGTCCATGACTACCTTCAGGATGTAGAATGCCTGTTCCCGTTCGCGGGAGGGGAGTTGAGGCATCGTGTCTCATTCCTAGTGAGCGACGATCTCCCTATGGATATCTTGTTAGGTATGTACTACCTCTCTGTAGCACAGCCCCAGTTTGACTGGGACCGAAAAGTGGTCAAGCACACTTTGCCAGGT